ATTTCACGATTCGATTCGATTCTCATTCACAAGCATTCGATTCGATTACCAATTCGATTCGATTCGATTCAATATCGATTATTTTGGATATATATCAGGTACAGTACATGCCAAATTTTCTCAAGGAAAAAAAATCTCAACTAAAGCTGGAGAGTCAGTTGGTACTGCATTATAATATTGAAGGTTAAAATTGACTGATTTGTTAAAATTACACTTAATGACGTTTTTAAAATAATAAAGTTACAATTACATAATAATATTTTGGTCCGTTTTTTTTTTTTTTTTTTAAATATAAACATGGTGGCTGTCATAAAAACTTGATGGATTTATTCAAACATGTAGGTAAAATTTATAATGAATATGTTATATGGTGCATATATTTAGCAAAATGCCCCTCTCTACAGTTTATTTTTCTATCTGACTAAGGAGTTTATGGTCACGAATGTTTTTCTGAGGTAAATGTTACGTGACATTGTTTACAAGACGTTATATTGGCGTTTTTGTGCGGCTGAAACACTGATTGAGCGATTACATGAGACAGGATACGGATTGTAAAGTTGTACTCTTTCTTTTAACTTACCTTCGGATGTTTAGTCATGTTTATTTTGTGCTGAAACTGATATTAATGTGGAGAAGATGATTGGTTCACGTGCGCCTCGCGCTGCCGCTTTTATTGAACTGAGGCGCTACAGCGATCTGTCACTCCACATTAAACAACGCCAAAACGGCATTAATTGTTTGAATACTGCAATACAATGACAGAATTTAAAATCTGAGACTTTTTCATGTTAAAAGTACCAAAGCACAATGCTTATTGCGATTTATTGGATGGGAAGTGCCCTTCAAAGTTCCGTCCATTAACTGAAAACAGGCTAGACTAATCGATTCTTGAGATTTAAGAATCGATATCGTTCGGTAAAAATGAGAATCGATTAATATCGAGATATTAATATTTTTTACCCAGCCCTAGTATTTTCTTTACTTCAAAAACTGTGTAAAAAGTGTAATATTTTATGTATTTGAGGTCTGAGATGTGGGAACGGTGAAGAGGGCAAACATTTTGCTATTTTACGTCAGTATTGCCGTCTAGTCAGCCAATATTGTCTTAAATAGCCTGCATAGCACTTCATCTTTTATAACATGGGATTTTGACCAAATATATTCCGTCTTGATTTTTGTCAAATGTTGCAACAAGATGTTAAAAAACTTTTCTTTTTTTTTTGTGAAAAATTTGTTTTGAACGTAACGTAAATATTTAAAAAATACCTTAAAGTTACTACAAATGAGCATGTAAAGCAAATATCTTTAAAAGAAATTCCGTGTGGAGCATGCCCCAGATCCACGCAGTGTTCTCACCTTTTTCCCTCTCTTACCTGTTTGCATCTCTGAATTTGGAATCAGTAATGGATTACAATTTGTAAGTAATCTACCCAGCTCTGTGCCATGCAATGCATCTTTCGCTGCTGCGTGTTTAACGCTCAACTGTCCGTCTACCAGGGGTCATCTGGGCCTGTGGCTGGATGCCGACCTTTACCATGGCACCACGTCCAAATGCTCCACCTTCAACAACCTGCCACTATCCTCCGAACAGGACTTCACCATCCAAAACCTGGAGGTGTGGGCCTTCGAATGAGCGCATGCTAACGTACCCACGCCACGCTCACGACATGATGACTTGATGTCTACTTGACGCTTTATCCCGAACTGTGCAAGGCTGTTCGTGTGAATCCGGCCGACATGGTTTTACTTGGTTTCTCCTGGTCTGAGCACGGAGAGAGAATTTCGTGGCAGCGATGCCGCCCACAGCTATCCCAGCATGCAATATGTTCTCCTGCTGAAATATAACCAATATATTAACACATATACGTGTATGTGAATGGCGAGGACTGTGTACGATATTCGGGAAGCGTTCAAAGCCGAAGACGTATTCGGTGGCCAGATCTGTCGCTTTGAGGCCAGTCTCTCAAATCGTAATTTTTGTTTACATCGTGGCGATTTGATGCGTTTAGTTGGTGTATTTTCACATTCATATTTTCACAATGCCAATATGTCCACAAATTGATTTTGTTGACCAAAGCATTTTATTTGCCTTGTTCTCCAGTTTTTATATTTCGTTTTTTTCTTTTTCTATTTGAGTGTTTTCTTTATATATATATATATATATATATGTGTGTGTATATATATATATATATATGTGTATATATATATATTGGAGGTGACATATAGTCGTATTCCTACGTGACGATTGTTTTGCTGTTTTGTGATATTTTAGGGACCTTTTCTAGTTCGTTCGAAAGGGAAGCACTTGAAATTATGCCAGTATTACTCGTGAACACTATGGTAATCGCACGCCTGATTTCATTAACCAAGTCACATCACTTTCTAGCAAATCAGGTTCACCACTTCACTGTGGGTTTGTGTATGCAATCACTGACCGATGTCACTTCCTGTTATGCGGTAGCACGATTATTACGTGATTTAAGCGTGAACGGATGCACGGTGCAAAGTCCGTTCTTGCGGTTGAAGGCACCCCTCTTTGGAAACGTCCACTCATTTCACTACTAGACAGCATCTGTGGGCATTAACTAACCGCATTCATGGTCCATTAGTGAAAAAAAAAAGTTTACAAGTGTTTCAAAGTGTCTCTGATTTCAAACACTGTCCGGTTGTGTATGTTAACCAGTGAATGTCATATTTATTGTGTATTTCTGTGTTTGAAAGTGAACCAAATAAATGCAATAAATGAAGAGGTCAATGACTCAAGTTTCATTAATTTAATATATATTTAATGTAAATAACTGTAACTTAACACTTTACATTAAGAACTCATAAAAGCAATTATGAACCTTTGTTAGAAATACAATTGTGTATTGTTTATTTGATTGTAAAGTAGTAGTTCCTGAAATGTTATATCATTGCATAATACTGTATATAGTTTCACATACAATTTTATTAAATGGTAGGTTCCGTTTACAGTAAATAGTGTATATAGTATATACAGTGCAATATTATGTGGATATTTTATTCCAACAATATACATTAATTTTAAGCAGATTTTGTCCCTGAGATGCTGTTGAATCACAGTTTTACAATGTAAAAACAGTGCAATCAAAGAAAGTAAAGTCTAAAAATATGTTATGAATCACACAGACATCAAAATATTCATTTATTTTTCATAATTTTTCTTATAATGTAATATATATATATATTTCCTTATAAAATATATTTATAAAAAGTTTTTCATTTTTTTTAAAAAAAATTTCTGAATTTTTAAATTCAGATTGATTGATTTTCAGACTCTGTATTAATGCATTAAGTAGCTACGTGGCTTGGCAACAGTAAACAGCCTATACATAGATCTGGGGTTATTAATATTATCAACTGTATTTTAAAAATTGGTGTCTTAATGTCTTGTAACTCTTTTGGGGTCATTCTTGTACGAAGTTGCCGTGCATCTGATGTCCGCTGACAACAGGATAATCTTGGTGGGCGGGGTAAACCTGCTCAGGGATCAGAGGTGAAAGTTCATGGGTGCTCCTCATGTAGTTCATGCCGCCCTGCTGGAGGAGGAGCAGCAGCTGACGGGCAAACAGCGGCTCCACCTGTAGGACAAGAGAAGTTTAGCCACGTTTAGTCGTGTGGAGGCAACTATTGCGTCAGAGTGGATGGAGAGGTCAAAGGTCATTACCTGGACAATCAGGGGTCTCTTGTCTGCAGAGGGGTCACAGCACTCAAAAAACAGCTGCACGTGGAAATGCGGAGGAGGACGAGCATGCAGGAAATAACCCTGGAGCTCTACAGGAATGAATGCATTAAAATTTAAAGGGATAGTTCACCCAAAAGTGAAGATTCTGTCATTGTTTACTCACCATCATGTCGTTCCAAACCCATAAGACTTTCGTTCGTCATTGGAACACAAATGAAGATATTTTTAATTAAATCTTAGATATTTCTGTCCCTCCATTGACAGTTTATGCAATTACCACCAGTGTTGCCATGTCCACGGTTATACCGAAGAATTTGGCTACTTTTACACTGTTGCTGCAGGTTGTTTTTTAGTCTGCAGGTTAAAGCGATTCCCCCTCCAGCCCCCTGAAATGCTATTTTGGTGGAGGGGACCCCAGACAGCAGAAAACCATGGGGGGGGAAATGGGCTAGTTTTGAATAGCAATTGTGCTGATTTTAATTCACAGACCTGGCAACCCTGACTACCAATTTGATGTTTAAAAAAGTTCATAAAGAGATTCATAAAACTAATCCATATGAATAATCCAAATTTTCCAAAGAGACTTGATAGTTTTACATGATTAATTTAATTTAGGTTTTTATTCACATATTTACATTGATCAGCAAACATAAACAGAAGCTCAACCATACTTGAAGTGTGAGAACAAAACCCACTGGTTCTTACAGAAGCTCAAACGTGCCGTATAACACGAGAATGAACCTCACTAGTTCTTACGGAAGCTGAAACCGTCCAGCCCGGAGTCGTCACATGTCCTTCCGGATGCTCCTTCATCGAAATTGCCGGCCGTTCTCAAGCCCGCCCTCCTCTGCTCACTCTAACCCTCCGGCCGTTCCTCACGCTAGCCCCCGGCCTCTGCTCACTGTAGGCCGCCGCCGCTCACTCTAGGCCGCCGTGTGTGACGCTGTTTCATTGTGAAAGCGAAACTACTTTGTTTGGTCTTCCAAAAATGGACACGACTAGAAATCAGTGGTTAAGTTGTATTTACAACACTGTTCCAGAACACTTCAACCCAAATATTCAGATGTGTGCAGCACATTTTATGGAGGACCGTTTCCTGATCCTGGGAGAGTAGACTACAATGCCGGCTGTTCTGACTCAAAGACTGTAAGTACGTTTTTTATATTTAAAGAGTTTTTATCAGAGGTTCTTACAGAAGCTCAAACATGGTGCGTAACAGGAGAATGAACCTCATTGGCTCTTATGGAAGCTCAAATGTGCCATGTAACACAAGAATAAACCTCATTGGTTCTTACAGAAGCTCAAACATGGTGCGTAACACACAAGAATGAACCTCATTCGTTCTTACGGAAGCTCAGACGCAGTGCGTAACACACAAGAATGAACCTCATTCGTTCTTACGGAAGCTCAGACGCAGTGCGTAACACACAAGAATGAACCTCATTCGTTCTTACGGAAGCTCCAACGTGGTGCGAAACATGAAAATGAACCTCATTGGTTCTTACAGAAGCTTAAACATTGTGCGTAACATGAAAATGAACCTCACTGGTTCTTACGGAAGCTCAAACGTGGTGCGTAACATGAAAATGAACCTCATTGGTTCTTACGGAAGCTCAAACGTGGTGCGTAACACAGGAGAATAAACCTCATTGGATCTTACAGAAGCTCAAATGTGGTGCGTAACATGAAAATGAACCTCATTGGTTCTTACGGAAGCTCAAACGTGGTGCGTAACACAGGAGAATAAACCTCATTGGATCTTACAGAAGCTCAAATGTGGTGCGTAACATGAAAATGAACCTCATTGGTTCTTACGGAAGCTCAAACGTGGTGCGTAGCAGGAGAATGAACCTCATTGGTTCTTACAGAAGCTCAAACGTGGTGCGTAACATGAGAACAAACCTCATTGGTTCTTAACGAAGCTCAAACACGGTGCGTAACAGGAGAATTAACCTCATTGGTTGTTACGGAAACTCAAACGTGTTGCGTAACACAGGAGAATGAACCTTATTGGCTCTTATGGAAGCTCAAATGTGCTGTGTAACAAGAATAAACCTCATTGGTTCTTACAGAAGCTCAAACATGGTGCGTAACACACAAGAATTAACCTCATTGGCTCTTATGGAAGCTCAAATGTGCCGTGTAACAAAAATAAACCTCATTGGTTCTTACAGAAGCTCAAACATGGTGCGTAACACACAAGAATGAACCTCATTGGTTCTTACGGAAGCTCAGACGCAGTGCGTAACACACAAGAATGAACCTCATTGGTTCTTACGGAAGCTCAAACGTGGTGCGTAACATGAAAATGAACCTCATTGGTTCTTACAGAAGCTCAAACTTGCCGCGTAACACTCAAGAATGAACCTCATTGATCCTTACGGGAGCTCAAACGTGGTGCATAACGAAAATAACCTCATTGGTTCTTACGGAAGCTCAAACGTGGTGCGTAACATGAAAATTAACCTCATTAATTCTTACGGAAGCTCAAACGTGGTGCGTAACATGAGAACAAACCTCATTGGTTCTTACGGAAGCTCAAACGTGGTGTGTAACAGGACAATGAACCTCATTGGTTCTTACAGGAGCTCAAACGTGGTGCATAACAGGAGAACAAACCTCACTGGTTCTTAACAAAGCTCAAACGCGGTGCGTAACAGGAGAATGAACCTCATTGGTTGTTACGGAAACTCAAACGTGTTGCGTAACACAAAAACAAACCTCATTGGTTTTTACGGAAGCTCAAACGTGGTGCGTAACAAAATGAAAATGAACCTCATTGGTTCTTACGGAAGCTCAGATGTGGTGCGTAACACACAAGAAAAAAACCTCATTGGTTCTTACGGAAGCTAAAATGTGCCGCGTAACAGGAGAATGAACCTCACTGGTTCTTACAGAAGCTCAAACGTGGTGCATAACACAGGAGAATGAACCTTATTGGTTGTTACGGAAGCTCAAACGTGTTGCGTAACACACAAGAACAAACCTCATTGGTTCTTACGGAAGCTCAAACATGGTGCGTAACACTGGAGAATGAACCTTATTGGTTGTTACGGAAGCTCAAACGTGGTGCGTAACACGAGAATAAACCTCATTGGATCTTACGCAAGATCAAACGTGTTGCGTAACACACAAGAACAAACCTCATTGGTTCTTACGGAAGCTCAAACATGGTGTGTAACACTGGAGAAGGAACCTTATTGGTTGTTACGGAAGCTCAAACGTGGTGCGTAACACGAGAATAATCCTCATTGGTTCTCACACGTCAAGCAAGCATGCTTGAGCTTCCCTTTGCTATAGCGGGTGTGTGTGCGTTGATAAATGTTTACATGTGAATAAAGTTTAACGATCTCTTTATTAACTTTTTGAAGCGTCAACGTGATAATCAGGGTTGCCAGGTCTGCAAAACAAAATCAGCCTAACTGCTATTCAAAATTAGCCCAATCGTATTTTTTCCGTGATTTCTCGCTCCATCGGGGGACCCCTCCATGGAAATAGCATTCCGGTGGGTGGCTGTTGGGACAGGAGATTGCTTTAACCTACAGACTAAAAAACAACCCATGGCAACAGTGTAAAAGTAGCCCAATTATTCTGTAAAACTATGGACTTGGCAACACTGGTGGTAGTTATGTCGACCAGTGGTTCTCAAACGTGTCCTGGAGGACCCCTAGCCCTGCACATGTGCAGGGCTAGGGGTCCTCCAGGACAGGTTTGAGAACCCCTGATGTAGACTGTCAGTGGAGGAACAGAAATCTCTCAGGGTGTATTCACACTTGTCTTGTTTGGTTCGATTGAAGTGAACTCAAGTTCAAGGTATCTGCTGCTGATGATATCTTCATTTGTGTTCCGAAGATGAACGAAAGTCTTACGGGTTAGCAACAACACGAGGGTGAGTAATTAATTACAAAAATATCATTTTTGGGTAAACTATCCCTTTAAATACTAAATATATTAAAATGCGGTTTAGTAGTTGTTGAGCTGTTCTAACCTGTCAGGAAGAGCTGTGTGTCCAGTAGTTTGCTGGTCTGCTCTCGCTCTAGTTTACAGAGTTTGGCGCTCCGGTTAGCGTGCAGCCCGTCGCAGTAGACCCTGCACTGACAGAAGCGTCGGGCGTACAGGCCGTCGGGCATCATCCAGAGCAAGACGCCCCCCTCCAGTGCTCCCATCTCAGCCTGAGGGAGAGGAACCAGCTCCGAGCCACTCGGCCCGCTGTAGGTCCAGTTGTCATCCTGCGGAGCCAGTCGACAGCCCTCGGCGCTCGTGACGGTGACGTCTGTGACCAGAGTCTCACCGCTGAACACCGTCACCTGCAGACGGGTGTCTGGAAGAGTCAGAGACGCAGGTGGGTTTCCAGGCTGTTGCTAGGTGGTTTATAAGATGTTCTAAGGGGTTACTGGGGCATTTGTAGGTTGTTGCTAGGATGTTGCTAGGCGGTTTATAAGATGTTCTCAGTGGTTACTGGAGCATTTGTAGGTTGTTGCTAAGCTGTTGCTAGGCTGTAGCTTAGATGTTCTAATTGGTTACTGCGACATTTGTAGGTAGTTGCTAGACTGTCGCTAAGCAGTTGCTAAGATGTTCTGATTGGTTACTGGAGCATTTGAAGGTTGTTGCTAGCCTGTTGATAGAATGTTGCTAGGTGGTTTATAAGATGTTCTAAGTGGTTACTGGAGCATTTGTAGGTTGTTGCTAGACTATTGCTAGGCTATAGCTAAGATGTTCTAATTGGTTGCTGGGACATTTGTAGCTAGTTTGCTAGACTGTCGCTAGGCATTTGCTAAGATGTTCTAAGTGGTTACTGGAGCATTTGTAGGTTCTTGCTAGGCTGTAGCTAGGATGCCCTAAGTGTTTACTGGGACATTTGTAGGTGGTTACTAAGCTGTTGCTAGGTAGTTGCTAAGATGTTCTACAGTATATAGTTACTGGTGCCTTTATAGGTAGTTGCCAGGAAGTTGTTAGGCAGTTACTGTGATGTTCTGAGTGGTTACAGGGCATTTGTAGGTTGTTGCTAGGCGGTTTATAAAATGTTCTAAGTAGTTTATGGGACATTTGTAGGCTGTTGCTAGGTGGTTTATAAGATGTTCTAAGTAGTTTATGGGACATTTGTAGGCTGTTGCTAGGTGGTTTATAAGATGTTCTAAGTAGTTTCTGGGGCATTTGTAGGCAGTTGTTTACTGTGATATGTGTTTTGAGTAGTTACTGGTTACTGGGCATTTGTAGGTTGTTGCCAGGCTAATGCTAGGCAGTTTATAAGATGTTCTAGGTTGTTTCTGGGGCATTTGTAGGTTGTTGCTAGACTGTTGCTAGTCAGTTGCTATGTTTCCTCTAAGTGGTTACTGGGGCATTTGTTGGTTGTTGCTAGGCAGTTGCTAAGATGTTCTAAGTAGTTTCTGGGGCATTTGTAGGTGGTTGCTAGGCGGTTGATAAGATGTTTTAAATGCTTACTGGGGAATTGGCAGGTAGTTGCTGAGCTGTTGCTAGGCAGTTGCTAAGATGTTCTTAGTAGTTACTGGGGAATTTGTAGGTGGTTGCTAGGCGGTTGATAACATGTTCTAAGTGGTTACTGGAGCATCTGTAGGTTGTTGCTAGGCAGTTGCTAAGATGTTCTTAGTAGTTACTGGGGCATTTGTAGGCAGTGTTGGGAGTAACGCATTACAAAAGTAATAATATTACAGTAGTATATTACTTTTTGCTGTAACTCAGTAATATAACGCATTACTAATCAAATTTGGGTAATATTATTACTCGTTACAATCTCAGTTTATAATTTTATGCCATATAGACCCATCACATTACCCTCCACTGGATGTAGAATGAGCAGCATTAAACTACATTTTGGCATTTTATAATACTTCTGTGGATATTTTTTTGTGAAAGTAACTGAAAAGTAACTCAAAAGTAGTGTAACGCATTACAATTCAGAGACAGTAATATTGTAATGTAACTAATTACTTTCAAAAGACAGTAACTAGTAATATACAATGTATTACATTTTGGAAGTAACTTGCCCAACACTGTTTGTAGGTAGTTGCTAGCCTGTTGCTAGTCTGTTGCTATGTGTTTGCTAAGATGTTCTAAGGGGCCGTTCACACAGAATGTGTTTTTCCATTCCAATGCGCTACTTTTCCATTTGTTTTCTATGTAAACACGCGTTAGACAGACGTTTATGTCCACTGTGTCTTGTGTGACACGCGTTTCGTGTCTTTTGCAGCGTCTCGCACGTGAGCGCCGTGTTTTTAACTTTCGTACACAGTGCCACTCATCAATGTCAGTTCCAAAACAGTGGACCAAACGAAGGAGTTTGTAACTGAGGCATTGTTAGACGGTTGCAAGGTTGTTTGTTCTAAGGTGTTCACTAGGTTGCTGCAAGGCAGTTGCTAAGGTGCTTTGAATGGTTGCCGGCTGTTGATTGTTGTGTGCTAAGAATGTTCTAAGTGGTTGCTAGGGTGTTGCTAAGGAGTTTATTATTGTGTGTGTACCTGACAGTGCCATGGCCTCGGCTGATCTCATGCTGGCGTCCAGAGTGAACGGAAAGGGAGGCGAGTCAAACGTGTTACAGCTGTAGAAAGAGCCACTTATCTGGTAACCTACACCCCCCCACACACACACACACACACTTTACTGCAAATGACTCAATATATTTTCTTAATGACTACAGAGAGAGGGAGGGTAAATACCGGCGTCCCAGCGGGAGTTCTGGCTGAAGTGGACGTCAGACAGTGAGTTCTGCTCACACAGGAAGTCCCTCCAGCTCCTGTCAGCAGCAGACAGGAAGTTACACACCTGTACAGAGAGACAGACACAGGAACAGATCACTACCCTACCGGTTTTATTTTCATGGCCAGATATTACTTTTAGTAGAGTTTAGTAGTCTGCAATAAGCTTGTTTAGGTTAGAGTTACCTGACCCTCCACAGGTTCATATGAAGGATAAAACGGGTAGTTATGGAGACCCGAGCTTGTGGAAACTTTCTCATATGATTTTGGTGCTGAAATGAAGGGGAAATTAATTGCTATTTAAATGTGTATTAATTAATTAATTTATAAATATATATTTATAAATTAAATAGAATGAATAAATAGTTTTCTAAATATTAATCTTAATATATATATATATATATATATACATATATTATTTATATACATATATACAAATTTCTATATATTTATAAATTACATTACATTTTTTTTTTAGAAATTATTCATTTTAATTTATTTAGTAATGTAAATGTGTAAAAAAAACATACAATATTTGCATTGTCAGATTGAATTAATTTCATATTTAAATGTAATATATTTATAAATATGAGTGTGTGTTTACCTCTTTTGGTTCCCTCAGGAATAACGCGGTAAACTTTAAACGGTTCAGACACGTCTAGCTGACTTCGGCCCACGAGCTCCTCGAAGTCGCTGCTCTTGTTCAAGGCACACCTGAGCCGGGTTTTCCAGGTGGGAGGATCCGGTTTATCTATTCCCTCGCGATACTTGCCCTTAAACAGAGCCCAGGCCTGATTCAATAAACCAGACTTAATTAATAAACCATTAGCATAAATTATGCTGAACAGATCTCATTTGCATAAACACATGAATGAACAGCAGGTGTTTATATGCTTAAAAATGCCTTAATTCCAATGCATTATAAAATGCATTTATTGCAAGCAAATAAATAAATAAATGCACAAACACACTTTTCAATCAAAACATTTAACATAAATGCATACAGTTTGAATTGATAAAACACTTGATCTAATGAAGTATGACTAATTTAAATAAAGCAAAATGTGCTTCATGTTTTATTTTGTTGCATGCAAATGCAATTTATAATTGCTGTTTGTTTATATTGATGATTAATTTTTAAATGTACCTATATCATAACATGCACACCTTGAAGAGCGCGGCGTCCTCGTCTCTGTTGTAGTCCTGCTTCCCTGCGTGTTTCCACGGGATGTGGAAGACGGTCCGCTCTCGATCCTCCCAAACTAAGCCGGGATATTTCCCAGTGTCCACCTGCTCGATCAGCCACTGACGTAACTTCCCGTTCCCGGAGCTTCCTGACATCCTCGCTTTGACAAAACTCCAGTGTACAGTATGCAAGCAGCAGGAGCTGTGATGGTGACGGTGTCTTCAGCAGAGGCTGCTGAGAATTTGGTTTTGATAACTCATGTTGTTCAGTTTTCACATGTGATTTTTCATAATTATTTGCCTTTTTATGGGTGGATAAGATTGATGTGGTTTGGAATTGGTCAAATGTGCTTGGAAAAATAATATGATCAGAATATCAGCGTGCCTAATAATTATGCACTATAGATGGATGGATGGATGGATGGATAGATGGACGGATGGATAGATAGATAGATAGATAGATAGATGAAAAGTGTTTCTACACCAATTTTTTTTTCAGTGCTCTCCAACTTTTTACATTATTAAATGTCAAATAACATTAATTCCCCCTTTTATGTAGCTTTATGTCACTATCAAGACTCATTTTAACAGTTTTTATCTCTATGTTCTAATCTAATGAAATGCATGTTTCTGTGGAGACCATTGAGAGATTTTATTAATATCACAGATGATTATTGCTCAGACTTGACCTGAGAGCATGACAGCAGCAGTTTAAAGCCACAAATTCCCCTCCGTGTTAAATGACGGAGCAGTTTTGGTGGCTGTGTGCACCTGTGAGTGTTACTGCTCCTTATGTTATGACTGGACGGGAACACGAGTCCTCTGGGACTGCAATTACTCAGCAACACACACTCAGCAACACACACACACACACACACACACACTCACACGCACACACACACTCTCTCACACACACACACACACACACACACACACACACACACACTCTCTCTCACACACACACACACACACTCACACACACGCAATAACAACTCTTTCATCTGCTCCAGCAAAAAGTTTACATTTGTTTTTGTTTTTTTATTGTACAGGGTTTGACACAAATAAACGTCTTTTCCGACTGTTATTATGTGACATGAATTATGTATTAAGAAACATAATTCTTTCTTCAACATCAGAAATTCATATATTGTATATACAAGAACATCATAATCAGTTTTTTAATAAATATTTGTATTATAGATACATTATTTTAAATTGTGGACATTATTCATTTATTTATTTTAATGTATTTATATTTTATTTTCATTAATTATTTTCATTCATTTTAATTTAATTTTGTTTTTATTCTATTTATTTAATTTAATTTTGTTTTTGTTCTATTTTATATTTTTAATTTATTTATATAACAAATATAAATGTAATCAGTTAACAGCTTATTTTTATATATATTTTAAACTATGGATAATTCTTTTTATTTTATATTTTCCATTTTTTTCTATCTATCTATCTATCTATCTATCTATCTATAATTCATTTATGACTCAAAATTCAAACTCATTTTCCCAGAAATCTGTTACATTTTGTGGTTGATGGCCAGATATTCAAATGAATCCCGTCATCTGCAAAATAACCACCTGTTAAACTCATCGAAAATCATCTGTTCAGCAAAAAACAAAACTGTCAAGTCATGAAATTAAAGTCATCGTGTTAATCTCAGTTTTCTTTGTTGATTTTAACCTGAAAAAGTTTTCATGAGACATGGTCTGAACAACGGAATGAAATATTAGTGAAAATATGCTGAAATGTTCCGTAATTGTAGATGTTATTGTTTGTAAAATATTTGCGTTGTCGTTTGACATATGCTAACTCATATAAGGAGCAGATGTGTGTCTATCAAGGTACAAATGTCACCTATTAATCATCATATCATATCTATTAATACGTGAGCCAGAGAATGTCTGTCGTACAATATGTAACCCATTGAAGTCTTCATGTTTAAAATGTTCATCTTGTTTATAATCTCAATGTTAATACAGTCTGTTTTCTTTTATTTCAGCTATTAAAAACACCATCCAGCAAACATGCTGCATATGGACGGTGAGAAATTATGATTTATTTACACACTTTATAAACTTTCAAACTTCAAAAGACTTGACTTGCGATCGATTTCAATGAAGTTTGATGTTAATTTGTTGCGAAGCTAAAAACCTAATGTACAGAGTAAAAGAGTTGAGATTTCTGTATGATACTTTTCTGTATTTAAGTATGATAATTAATTATGATGGCTTGAAATGCTTCCTATGTAGGCAGCATACTGGGTTCAGGAACAGCGTTCGTCTAACTTCAGACTTGTTCATTTAGGAAACTGAAAAGATGAAAGTTATGAAAGATTGTGGACATGAAACTCCTTTCAGATCACATGCAGAGAACAAACATGATCATAAATTCACTCATAAATGCATAAACCAGCATCACAACCATTCACCTATAGATATGCATATAACACACGAACGCTTTTCATGCACACACACGAGAACGGCTTTGTTTCGATTGACGTTATGACACTATATGAAACTGGCATGGTTGCTCAAAATGTATATTTTTGAACATGTTTTATTCTTTTCACATCTTAAGCCCTGCAGGAAAGTTTGTAATTTACCAGCGACCTTTGTGCGAGACTTAAATTAGACTGAAAAACATACAAAATATTGGTTTCCGTTAAATAAAAAAGGATAAATTCATCCCTTTTACACCTTTTAATGTTTATTAAAATATTTATTTGTATTTTTTTTTATTGTATACATTTTATATATATAAATAATATAGTAATTAAATTTTTTATTTATATGTTTATTTATGTAAGCATTTTTCCTAAAAACATGGCAGATTTGCAGAAGCAGGATGATACATTTATTAATCATTTACATAACAAATTTGCTGCATATGGACGGTGAGAAATTATGATTTATTTACACACTTTATAAACTTTCAAACTTCAAAAGACTTGACTTGCGATCGATTTCAATGAAGTTTGATGTTAATTTGTTGCGAAGCTAAAAACCTAATGTACAGAGTAAAAGAGTTGAGATTTCTGTATGATACTTTTCTGTATTTAAGTATGATAATTAATTATGATGGCTTGAAATGCTTCCTATGTAGGCAGCATACTGGGTTCAGGAACAGCGTTCGTCTAACTTCAGACTTGTTCATTTAGGAAACTGAAAAGATGAAAGTTATGAAAGATTGTGGACATGAAACTCCTTTCAGATCACATGCAGAGAACAAACATGATCATAAATTCACTCATAAATGCATAAACCAGCATCACAACCATTCACCTATAGATATGCATATAACACACGAACGCTTTTCATGCACACACACGAGAACGGCTTTGTTTCGATTGACGTTATGACACTATATGAAACTGGCATGGTTGCTCAAAATGTATATTTTTGAACATGTTTTATTCTTTTCACATCTTAAGCCCTGCAGGAAAGTTTGTAATTTACCAGCGACCTTTGTGCGAGACTTAAATTAGACTGAAAAACATACAAAATATTGGTTTCCGTTAAATAAAAAAGGATAAATTCATCCCTTTTACACCTTTTAATGTTTATTAAAATATTTATTTGTATTTTTTTTTATTGTATACATTTTATATATATAAATAATATAGTAATTAAATTTTTTATTTATATGTTTATTTATGTAAGCATTTTTCCTAAAAACATGGCAGATTTGCAGAAGCAGGATGATACTTTTATTAATAATTTTCATAACAAATTTAAAAAATATGGTAATTTATGTTGCATTTGTCTGTTACTTCATAATATAGAAAGCATATCTCTAGATCTGTATATACAACTACACTGTAAAAAGAATTCTGTAAAATTTACGGTAAAAAGTCAGGTTTTTACTGTAGCATTTTTACAGTCTTTTACCGTTAAATTCACGGTAATTTTTTACAGTGAATCTCATGTTTATGATATTTCCGGTGTTTAAACGCAATAGTCAAAAAATACACATGCACCATTTGTGATTCATTTTGACATTTCTTTGTAATTTTCCATATGTTCCGATTTCGACTCACTGACTGCATTATTTTGCTCCTTCAGAACGTCATGGAAACAAAGTAAAAACGTCCTTTCTTCCTTTTCTATGTCTTTCATTTGGACTTTCTCACACACACACACACACGCACATCTGTGCAAAACTGCTGTTAGAAAGTTACAAAACATGAGACAGAAATTCATTGTCTTGTGAGACTTCTCGCACTTTCTTTTCCTCGTCTGAAAACAGGGAAAGTTCGATTTCACTTGTGCGATCTAGTGAAACATGCGCCGCTTTCTTCAAGAATCCCCTGATAAAGAGTTTCACAGCGTTTGTTTTCAGAAAGCGTGACTGTTTTCTCAGAAGATGACTGCAGTCATTTCTGATTGATCTTGAACAGGAGGAGAACAATCCAGAGAAGAACAAGGCTCTGTGACCTTCAGGTCTGTAGAAATGCTTAGGTTCCTCCTTCAATATACATCTGTGGGATTTTTTCACCTGTTTGAAAATAGTGCATTTAATCACTTAACCGCAGATTAAAAGGAGGAGAAAGACAAGATCTTGAAAATCTCTCAAAAATAAAGTACTGTTTTTCAAAGAGATGCTATAGAAGAACCATTTTTGGTTCTCCGAAGAACCTTTCAGTGAACAGTCCTTAGAAGAACCATTTTTTGTTAGTACACTATTAAAAAAGGTTCTTTGTTGGCATTGATGGTTCCATGGAACCTTTCCATTGGGCTAAATTCTTGATAGTCAAAGATGGATTTTTAAAAAGAAAGAAAACCATGGTTCTAAGAACTGTTTATTGAAAGGTTCTTTGGGGAACCAAAAATGGTTCTTCTATGGCATCGCTGCGAAAACTCCAATTTGGAACCTTTATAATTTAAGAGTGTGAGAAAAACATTCCGAAGAAACTTTTTCCACTTTAAAGAACCTTTTATGGAATGTAAAGACTATATGGACGTTAAAGGTTCCCCATGGAACCATCAAACACTAAAGGTTCTTTATTGGAATTGTTGGTTCCCTTCAGGTCTGTAGAAATGCTTAGGTTCCTCCTTCAATATACATCTGTGGGATTTTTTCACCTGTTTGAAAATAGTGCATTTAATCACTTAACCGCAGATTAAAAGGAGGAGAAAGACAAGATCTTGAAAATCTCTCAAAAATAAAGTACTGTTTTTCAAAGAGATGCT